AAGAACCAGAAGCTCTRGAAGAKAGACCAGAGGGGCTYTGGTCGAAGAACCAGAAGCTCTGGAAAAGAGACCAGAGGGGCTCTGGTCCTGGTTATTGAAATATATTCCAAGTGTGGTTTGGAACCAGAGGCTCGATGGACCAAAGCAGAATCTGATTTTATTCCGCATGTTGTGAAATGATTATTTGATAAATGTTTAGGTGATCTTCACCATGCATTGCATAAAAGGGAACCTCACTAGACATTCAGGTCTAACCCTCATTTCGTGTTTTCAAAACTATGTGTGCAGGTAAAGATAATAAGGGAAAGAGCATTATATGAATTACTTTCCTATGTGCTCAGTTGTTTTGGAAGCATAGATGCTAGGATGCAAGAACATGTACTTTTGGAATTTTTGAGTTGCGTATTTTACATTAAAGACTTTTGTATTATGGACCTATGTGGGAGAAGACATGTATTTTATGTATAATATATGTGTTATATGCAATGTATGGATTGGGGGTGTTACAGTTTTGATGTATATGAATATTATTATGTACTAAAAAAATGTAATCATTCCTTGATTTAATATGCACCACGCTGAACGATTTTCAATAATTCTCTAAAGCTTTCGTGTGCAGCAACCAAAAACATCCATCTTCTTGACCTTGAGCATTGTTGATAATCTGAATCAACGAGTGTTTGAAATGATCAAGAGTTTTAAATGGTTTTAGATGTAATGCCAAAATGCATCAAAATATAATAAGTTTATCTTTCTATTTACCGTAACAAATGTTTCATTCTTCCAATTTCATACTCATTTTATTGATAAATGGTTTCCAGTCTACATGACATCAATTGATTTTGTCGTGACATTTGTTCATATAATCAAAATTTACAATATAACTTAGACAATTTGGCGTCCACATCATCACTAATTACAAAATTTACTGGTTGCTGGTCAAAATGGTTATAAAATAGGAAGAATCAAACATCTGTTACACTAAGTGATAAAAGAATAGTTACCGTTACACTTAAATAGAAAATAAGGGGTTATTTATCAAACGTTTACAAGGTAAGCGTTTACTCGGGAAGAGTTATCACCATCTAAGATTCCGCCATCAAAATAGCATAGTAAAAATTGTTGTTGAGGATCTCTTACCCGGTAAATGCTAACCAGGTAAAAATTAATGATGTCACTTACCGGTTAAGATTCTCGGTCCTTATCGTGTTTCTTACCATGTAAGATTCTCGGTCCTTGTCGTGTTTCTTACCATGTAAGATTATCGGTTCTTGTCATGATCACCCAGTAAGGTAAGTAAGTACTTACTCGATTAACGTATGATAAACGACCATGCAGGACCGGCCCTGACTATAGGCCCAGGGGACGACGACCCGGGGTAGCATAAAGCCCAATGGCATCAAATTTCTAAAGCGAAATGTATATATATATATATATATATATAGACATGGGATCATGTGAGACCAAGGGTTTCTCGTAAGACCCGTAAGACCAATTCTCAACCATTGAATTAGATCTATAATCTGAACATTCATAATCACAAAATTGCTACGAGACTTTTCAATAATCACAAAATTGCCACCGTGCAATTTAAGACCATTAGATCATTAGCTTATAAAGTTGATCAATGAACATAAATTGGTCTTACGGGTCTCACGAAAAACTCTTGGTCTCACGTGAACCCAACCCTATATATATATGTATATATATATATATGTATATATATATGGGGGAACGATCAAATGCAAACCACTCAATTTGTACAAACCGTGCAAACCGCATTCAACCAATCATAATTTTTCATTTTGTTCATTTTTTTTGTAATTATAAGAGGTTGATTAATCATTTTTATTGTGGAGGGTGTTAATCATAGATATTAT